AGAGGAAAAGAAATGTTCAGGATATTTTCACAAATTAATTTTCCGCTTTTTTCACTCATTTCGCTCATTATACACGAAACAAAGAAAGAAAGAAATGCATTCGTTCATAATTGAGCAAATGAAATTAATAGTTTCATTTATAATATTCGATGTGAATGAAATGCATTCAATAAAACCCATTATAATTATTGATTAAATTAAAACAATGTATCGAACTGCGGTAGAATCTTGTCATAACCATAACGACGCCGGTGAAAACTAATTGAAAAACGATTATTGGTTCTTACAGTGGATGCGTGTGTATGTGTGTAATGGATGAGATTTTCACGTCATTAAATCGGTTGTTGGACACATTTCATTTGACGGACACAAATCAAATTATTAATCAACATGCAGAAGACTGCCAGTTAGCCACTATATGAAATCAGCTCAAATCAGCATCAAACTAAGCGGTTGCATCATCGCTGCTATTGATAGATTAAATTTTTGAAGTGCATTGACCGTTTCCACTTGCATAAAATGGTCGCGGGTACAGACAAAGAGCGATGTTGGTTTAATCTAGCGTTGTTAAAGGTGCGTAAACATCAAAGTGCTCAATCGCATTTTAAATAAATAATTAAGTTGTTTGAGAGGTTGATGTGGCATCGCAAATTGTTGTTGCCCCGTTATCTCTATTCCGTTGTAAACGCTATCCTTAACCATGATGACGGCACTGATGATGATGATGTGGTGCGTACAGTCAATTTGTAATGAGCCGCACTTAATGAGCGTAACCGTACTAATTAATACATGAAAGTCACCATCGTCTTCTGCGGACAATTTCAGTTTGCAATACTATACGATTCACAGTGACCCAATTTCGTTTAGGTTCAACTACCCCTTTTTCACTGAACATAACCATCTTAAAAATAGTTTCCGTTGCATACAAAGACAAAATATATAACCAGAACATTTGTAATGTTAGAGTGGCAACTGGGGTTCAACACATAATTCGTTTTTCTGGTGAAGTGAGTGCGGGAGAGATAGAGAGAAAGCAAAACGACACCGTGTCAGATTTCGCAATTCGAAATGAAATTGCTGACGAAGAACAACAACAAGAAGAATAGAAATAAAAAAAGACTATACAAAAGTGTAACGCATACAACATTTCTACATTTAATTATTTAATTAGAACCATCTCCCATCTCATTAACGTGAGCTCGTGGTGGATATTGTACATTCGTTTCGGTGTAGATGCGAACATACATACAGACACATAAAACCATCAATGAGAAAGAAACTCTTTTGCGGAAGATAAAACGCGCATTTTCACCGCACAAACTCGAAACCAAAGTTCCGAATGTCGTTGTGTGTGTGTGTGTGTCGCTGGGTGTATGTGTTTGCATAAAGTTTCAATTACTTAATGAGTGTAATGGTATTCTTTTTGTTGTATTGTATTCCGTTTCCTTTTGAGATGTGTAGCTGGAAGCTAAAACTCCATGACAATCTCTTCTTCTTCGAATATTCTCTGTACGTTTTTCAAAAAGTTACAAGAGCATTTCACTTCCATTGTATTTAATCACACTCACACACACCGTTTACTTTGCTATCATTTTGATCTCCGTTTGAAATGAGGCTTTGCCTTTTTCGCCTTTTTCCTCTTTGCATTCTGTTTCTTTTCTCTTCTTTTTGTTTCTTGCCATTTTTTCGCCGCTCTTAATTTCTTTGTGTTTAATTCTTCGGAAAGGAAATATGTACAATTTGAATATATGTATGTATGTATGTATAGATGAAAGTGAAAGGAACATTTTTCACATACTTTTGCAAGCAATGTGACAGCATTGAGAGGCACATTCAAAGGCCAAACACACATCTATTTTGAACAAAGACGGAGTTCTTCTCACTCGCTCTCTTTCTCTCTCTTGTTTTAGAGAAAATCAAAAGCGCATGAATATAGTATATACATTTCAACAGCAGCGACAACATATGACTTGATTCCTTCTAAAAAGTCATTCACTTTGTTCAGCGAAATGTTCAGATTATGGTGCTACATAATTTACGGTACAGTAGATAAAGACAAGGGTGCTAAAAAGAAAGTGACTGAAGGTAGTAAATTCAAATGAAGAAGTGAGAGCAACAACGAAAAAAAATAACGTCACTCCGCGTTGTGTCTTACGACAATCAAAGCGCGTGATGCACGAGAAAAAAAGTGCCGCTTAAGAGAAAAGCCACTGAAATGCCTTTTAGCACTCTGAAGAAAATTTTTTTTCTTTCTCCTTTCTTCAATTTATGTTAAGGATGCGCTGCAAGGGGCGAATGTCTTTTAAAATGTAAAGTGATTTGGAAGGAACAGTTCTTTATAAAATGGTCCGTTTCTTGATCCATTGTCTAAAACCGATGCAGACAAATAAAAATCGCACTTTTTAAGCCGTTGCCCGAATCCAAAATCGACGGAATTTACTACTGAAGTAATTAAAGTGATGGCGCGGCCGAACAATTTTAAACACAGATTTAATGTGATGCCTTTAAAAGTGTATGGCTTGAAACTCAAACCCGGACCAACAGAGTATATTTTAATTAGATTAATTGAGTTGCAAGACCAGCTAAGGCCGGTGAAATTGGAGGCATGCTAAGAGCGAAAAAAGTCAGTATTGATGATAATTTTATTCTTGAAATTACTTGGAATTTTTTTAAGAATAGAAAAGCATATATTTGGATATGGTTGTCTCTTTCTTCTTTTTTTCTTTTAAGTCACACTCAAGGAGACCCATTTTTTGCCAAAAAAGAAAAAAGAACCGGATTCTTGTGAATTCGTTGCTTTTTAGATACGTACGTTTGTTCTTAGTTTTTATTTCCATCTTGTGAGAGAGTTATGTCAAAGCTTGTTTTATAACTTGTTCCATTTTCTAGTTTCTTCTACAAAGCGTTTATTGTTGTCGCTCAGAAGACATAAAATTAATCGTGAATACTGCACTTTGATATGTCAAGAAAAACTGAAATGGATGCAAAAAAAAAAACATTATTTTCTGCATTTTGACTGTTTTTCTCATATTTTTTCACGAGATTGTAAGCAAGTAAATCACAAAGAGAGAAAAATGGAGCAAAAACGGACCTACATCAACTTCCATTACATAAATCCCCCGGATGAAACAAACACGATGTCTATTATGGCAAATTAGTGCCTTTGAAAACAGAAGAAAGTCACCTTCATTTCCTAATCCTCGACTATAAAAACTCATTTGGCTGAAGCGAGACAAAAAAAGTCGAGTCTCTGCGTGTGCACATACAAGGAAACAAAACAACAACGACAAGCCACTCGTTACATAAATTGTATTACTTGCCGTGGTGTGTGTATGTGTGTTGGAAAAGTCCGCACTGAACAGAAACCTCACGCCATTTGCTGTTCTTATATTTTAATAAAGTGTTGAGAAATATGGTTTGGTGACGCAAAGTAAAAGCGATTGCATTGCCGGCAAATCGGCTTCTGCATAATGTTTTCTCTCGTTTCGTTCGTTTAGAACCAGTGAAAAAGAGCCAGTTTCACAAAACCAGTCCAAAGTAAAGTTGAAAACAATTTCCTTAATTCGATATAATTATTGTTGAAAACTCAAACAAGAACAAACCACCGATGCATCTAACACACATTTTCTTCGTATTATTTTGTGTTTTTCAACGTCATTGCCTTCTTATTCTTCAGCCGGCATGTAGCTATAAGAAAGCAACAACCGTTTTTCTTCTTCAAAGACAGTTGAACAGAAGCAATTGGTTTGGCATTGTTACCGAAAACAGCATTTTAAGCGGAAGTGTGTAATCAAAAGCATAATTCGATGTAAGTTCAGTTTTGCTCATAATTTTTTGATGCCGTATTATTTTACAATTTCAAACATTTTACTTTGCTTGCACAAGTGTAGCAGCAGCTGCCAGAGCAATCATACGGGTTTCAAAATACGCACATACAATGTTGTTCCGTTGGGTGTTGTTTATGGTTTTTCCAACCTGGTTTTCGTTTGCAAATAATTTTGCATAAGCACACATACGCACACAAACACACACACTCATGTGCATGGTGTGCTCATGACTATGTGTGATCATAATTGTGCAACAACCAGCCCATAAATATTCCATGACTCATATACTATGCTAAAAACCGACATCAATGAACAACAACAAAAAAACGGAAAACCAAAAAGAAAACATAGATGCTTTCAACGACAATCTCATTTCCTAAAATGTTTCCGTTTCGTTCGGCAAACTTTCACTTTGCATTGTAAGGAAAACAAAGCGACTACACATTTATGATCAAATGCACACTTCTTCCTATGAAAAGTTTACTAAGATTCTCATTTTTCCAAGAAAATGACTGAGACGTACTCGATATAGATAGTATTTATGTACAAAATGCGTATACCTTACACAAACCAAAATGAAAACTTCTTGCTGAAATAAATGCATTCGCTTTCGATTAATTTTGTGTAAATAGGAAGTTTTCAGTTTCATCGACGCAGAAATGGTTGCTTTGGAAAATATTTATGGAATTTGAAGGATGAAAATGAGCCAAAACCAACGAAAACAACTTAAAACGGAATGGTTAATGAGCTTCTTTAATTAGTCATCATCATCATTCTCGTCGTTTTCTTCTTCGGGAATTTCAATCCGCAAATAATTTCCGTGCAACATTCAAACAACTTTGAAAAATTATAAGTTAATGAAAATTGAAATGATGCTCACGAAAACCTGTATACTCAAAATATTTGCTAATACTCAAAATACGCTGCAAGTTATTCCTCTCATGTGTCTCAATTTTTGTTACAGACACCTTTCTATTGACTTTCCATGTTAACATCGTGAACATGTTTTTATGCATAATTTCATTGTTTTTCCGAACTTAATTTATTCAAAAATTATGGCACTCTTCAAATCAAAAGAATAGGACACTTTTTCAATGATAAATTCATCAGTGCAATGAAATTGATTGTATTTTTTTTTTCAACAAAAAGAAGAAAGTCAAGTGAAACACACAGTTAAATCATTGAATGACGTCAATTTATTCGAAAACTGTTTTTGTCCATTTTTTTCAATTTTAAGTGGAACAAAGTAAATATAAAGTTAAAAACCGAAATATTATTTCACTTGAAAAATATATTCAAGTGTTACGATTCATTATTTACGATTTTGATATTGTTCGGGGCATTTCAAAACATTTTAGTTTAAGTCTCGACACCTTTGGTGTAAAAGATTCGCCCATCAAAGTTTCTGCCCATTTGGGTCGTTGAACATTTAACTCATCTACAATCGCTGATGCATCTCGAACGAGATTTTTTAATGCTTCCAGTTTCTCTTTCAATTCAGCCACGATGTTACATAGCGCAACCAGTCGAATTGTTTCATCTTTGGACCTTCCAATATTCCTTAGTTCATCCTTCTTCGATACAGTTTCTTCATAATATGCATATCTCTTCTGCGGCATGTCTTGCAATTTTTTATCCAACCTTTTAACTATATCATCATAGCTACTTTTTATTTTATCAGCTTCCTGAAGAATTACATTGGCGCGAGGCTTTTTCATCGTTTTCTTCGTGTAGTGTTCAATAGCTTTTTCAAAGCCAGGTATATCGCGATATGTTGGCTCTTTGAATAATCCATTATAAATAATATTGTGAAAATTACGAATTTCACTGTACAAACTACTCAAACTTTCAATACTCGAACGAATTTGATTATGATTGTTGTCGTTTTTGGAACCAAGGACTTCTTTCAATCTATCTTTAATATCGGGTAAACCATTTTCGTTGAAGAATGTGGAAAACCAACTATGTTTTTTCGAATCGGTCATAATTTCGCTAAAACTCAAGGTCCACCAATGAACATAACCACTTGTTGGTACGGGAATTTTTTCGATTTTAGAATATTCAAACACTGGTTTCAAAAAGTTTACAAATTCATTTGGACCACTAAGTTTACCATTTTTTGGCAAAAATGGAGCTACTTTCGCTGGAAATTTCTTCATAAATGTTTCATAGACAGGAGTATCTAAATCAGTGTTATTTCCATGGATCACTGTCAACTAGAAATGGATTCTGTTCAATTCTTTAAGTTTGTTCATAATAACAAAAAAAAAAAAACGATTTCGATATTTTATGATCGTTTTCGATTAAAGTTTCTATTCACCTGATTGAGCGTCGACAGTACAAATAATGCCACAATTAATGACAACTTCAACATTTTCGTAAGAGACACCTAAAATAGTTATAACCAGAACTTAAAAAAATCTATAACAACACCTGCCTTTATACACAAAAATGAGTCTATGATGTTTTTTAAAATATTATTCGTTTGCGTAATTTATAAAATTTGACGCAAATTATAAGTAAGAATATTAAAAAAAATTAATTCAAGTTCTGTTCACGAATTTTTTCCACCTGAATAAGCATATTTGTGTATTTATAACAGGTTTCACTGAATACACATACGAAATATCAACAGAATAATAATTGATGAAAACAATTTATTGGTACGTCAAAGATATTGTTTTTCGATCAAGTCACTCGAGTATGGAATTATGTCAGTTTTAATCGTGTCTAAAATTTTATTTCAATTCTCTAATTTGTTGGCCAGCCAAGGATGAAAGTCCAATTTGTCCAAAACGTGTCTGACAGTATCTGACTAAAACGGCTAAACTTCTCGCTCTAAAAATGAGTGAATGTGCTCTGAATTTTATAATTCGGGACCTAGGGGGTAGACACAAACTAGAAAACTAAAAAAAAACTAATAAGAAAAATTACCAATACTGAAGCTCGTGTCTCCCCCTAGTTCGGGACCCAAATAACAAGAATATATAATTTATTTCCAACATTCAAAGTGATTGAGTTTTTTCAATTCTTCAAAAAAGTCATAATTCCATTATGGCTATTTTTTTTCAAATCCAAATAAAGAACCTGTGGCAATTGTCATACTAACTGTCAAATTCAAATACAATTTCTCATGAGAAGGAATGAGACAAACATACGGAGTGGCACAAGTTCTTTTGGAAAGAAGAAAATAATATCTCTAGAAACAAACATAAAAGAACAAGAATTTTATTATTGCATGCCGTCAGTTCATTCGCAAATTTGTTTCGCTTATTATTTTTTATTTGCATTGAAATAAACATTAAAAAAAGCTTATAATCTTGTGCTTGGTTCTTAATATTATATTCCGGGGCATACCAAAACATTTGAGTCTAAATCTCGATTCCTTTGGTGTAAAAGATTCACCCAACAAGGCTTCCACCCATTTGGGTCGTTGTACGCTCAACTCATCCACAATTGCTGACGTATCTTTGCTTTATTTTATGTGCTTCCTCATAAATTGAATTTGCGCGACTCTTTTTCATGGGAGTTTTCAAGAAATGCTCAAGTGCTCTTTCAAAGCCAGGGATATCGCGAAATGTTGGCTCTCTAAACAATCCACTATAAATATTAATGTGGAAATTACGAATTTCATGATGTAAACTACTTAAATTTTCAATGCTCTGACGAACTTGTTTATGATTTACATCGTTTTGAGAACCAAGGAATTTCTTCAGTTTATCTTCGATTTCAGGTAATCCAGATTTATCGAACATTTGAACAAACCAACTATATTTTACCGAATCAGATTTAACTTCACTAAAAGTTAAACTCCTTCCAATAGAAGCACCCGACGACGTAGCAACATGATCGATTCTTGGATAATCGAAAAATTGTTTCAAAAAAGCTTCCCACTCCCGAAGACCGCGATGAACACCTTTTTCATAATAAACATCAGTTACTCTTTTGGGGAATGTCTTTATAAATGTGGCATAGACCGGGGCATCTAAATCATATTCATTTCCATCGATAATTGTCAACTAAAGTGAAATGATTCGTTTCAGATTCACGTCCTTTTATTAACGAACTGATATATTTTTGGTCATCACTTCTAATTACCTGATTAAGTATTGACAATACAAAGAATAACAGCGCCAGAGACAGCTTCGACATTTTCGTTAGAGAGATCCGTAGTATTTATTATCATCAATATCAACTAATAACTAATAGCCTGCTTTTATACACATATCTAGTTTTCTCAAATCAAGCTCGTGTGGAAACTTTAATAATATGCTTACGTCAATTCAACATAAACAATTATTCAGAATTTGTCAATTTATTCCACTTGTGCAAACATTTTTGCAAAAAATATCGTTCAAATTTGTTTCGTAGAAGATTTAAATTTCAAAACAACTCTCGTATACATTTCATCAGAAATATTATTTGACATAGAGCGAATAATAATTGTTTGATGCGGCAATGACTGAAGGGAAAAAATACAAATTCATGAGCTGAAAATTACATCCTGCCCTTGTTGTCAATAATATCATTCAGATTGGTCCATTGAAAAATACAACATTTTTATTGTTACATGGCATGAATTTATTTTGAACCAATGCAAACTATAACTTGACATTATAACATTGACAAACTACTTTCGTTTGGATAAATTTAACCAGTCTATGTATTTCGGATGGATATCCATCCGAGATATTTTAGAATATCTGGATATTTAACGCAACTGCACAGAGCCAGAGCTGTGTGCGTCGCACATATAATCTACGGTATGTCGCTACACGTAAAATACAGACACAGTGTGACTGTGTACGTGCGGCACTTGATAGACATATACGTCGCGACATACCGTAGATTCTATTTGCGACGCACACAGCTCTGGCGCTGTGCAGTTGCGTTGAATATCCAGATATTCTAAAATATCTCGGATGGATATCCATCCGAAATACATAGACTGAATTTAACAAACGTTATAACTGATTATTCAAATTTTCGCGGTTCTTGATTTCAACTTGTCGAGGGTATTCCACAACATAGCTTGAGTTTCCATCCTTTTGGAGCTACAGATTCACCCAGCAAAGCTTCCGCCCACTTGGGTCGTTGAACGCTCAACTCAAACGCAATGGAAGAAGCCTCTTCAAGCACGTTTCTCAATTCTTCTAATTTTTCTTTCAATTCGTCTACGACATTGATCACCTCATTTACTTTAACCGCTTCAGTTTCTATTTTTTCAGCTGCTTTTAATCTGTTAACAGTCGGAACAATTAGTTCTAAATACGCATGTCTTTTCATTGGTATGTCCTGCATTTTTTCATCCAATCTTTTGGTTAAATCATCGTATATATTTTTTATATTTTCTGCTTCTTTATAAATCTGTGTTGCACGATTCTTTTTCATCTTTTTTCCCGAGAATTGCTGAAGAGCTTTTCCAAAGTCAGGTATATCACGAAATGCTGGCTCAATAAATAAAGCACTATAAATAGTACTGTGATAATTTCGAATTTCATGACGTAATTTGCTCAAATCTTCTAAATTCTTCTTAATTTCTCGTGGGAGGCAATAGATTTTAGCACCAAGAACTTTTTTCGCTTTACTTTCAACATCAGGCAAGCCCGATTTATCAAACATTGTAATAAACCAACTATATTTTACCGAATCAGTTGTAACTTCGCTAAAACTTAAACTCCTTCCAGCATTGACACTTGAGGGCACAGCGACTCGATCGCATTTGGGATACTCGAACATTGGTTTTAAAAAGTTTTTCCATCCCTCCATGCTACGGTAGTTTGAACCCATTTCAACGTCAGTAATTCTGCTTGCAAATCTTGACATAAATGTGTCATAGACAGGATCATTTAAACTGAATTCAACTCCACCGGCCAACTAATATTCATGAATGAAATTAAAAAAGGCACGAACTTAATCTGATTTTTGCTGGTTCTAATTACCTGATTAAGTATTGATAGCACAAAGAATGGCAAAAGAGACAGTTTTGACATTTTGGTTTGAGATCCGTAAGTTAGTTAGTTATAACAGAATTCACAAAATACTGATAAAAAATTAGTTATCATCTCTGGTTTTATACAGAACATTTATACAGAATTTTTTTTAAATTATAATATTTTACCGACATTCCAGAAAAAAATGTGTGAGTTTCGTAAATCGATCTAATTCGTCTCTGAGTAAAAATTTATGTGAAAGAAATACAAGATATACGCTTGTGTGAAATATTGCGAGTACAAGGACAAACAACTGTGTTTTTTCTTGAATTCGATTTGGAGCAGCGATAGCGTTGTTGTTGTTTTTTTTTTGAAAAATACAAACCGATGATAATAGGTTGGCTTCTTCGATCTTGCCACGTGAGCTTCCATCCATTTTTCAATAGGATACAAATAGTTAATATCCGAATCCAAGAGGAGTCGTTGTCTTAAAATGTCTTTGTCACTCTTTGCCTTATCAAAATAAAATTTACAAACGTCAGTGAATACACCCCGAAGGTATGCCAGCTAAAAATTGAATATTAAGACTAATTACCGTAATACATATGAAAAATAAGTTTCAAATATCGCTTACTTGTTTCTCATTAATTGTTCTGTATCCAAATGAATAATGAAATGAAAAATGGAAATGAAAAATTATCTAAAAATGTATTTATTGCCGTTGGTGATTCATAATTCGATCCTTTACCAAACAATTGATACTCCTAAGTGAAGAGGTGAAGAAAATAGACGATTTGAATAAAAAATATGTGTGTTTGAGGTGCAATTGTGTTAAATTTTACATATTCAGCAATGGTGTAATATGCAGTTTTATTGATGGTGGATTTTTTCAGTTGCGTCAACGGATCGTTCGGAAGAAATGGATTTTTTGCTTTGGAATCTAAAAATTAAACAAAAATATTGTCTGATAAATTCGAATTAGTAGAATGAAAACTCATACCTTGAATCGAAGATCGCCTACCGGCGGTTGAGCATATGGGATGCCTTTATAAGAATAAAACGTCTTTCGAAACCACATTTTGTGCTCTAAACGACCTTGGACTGGGCCACTTTTTTGTTTTCACTTTTTTATACGGATCTTGATAAACACAGCTACACACAGCAGACAAATGCCACGTCGCAACATTTTTGAATTAGAATAAGAAAATTCCCACAATCAATACCAAGTTCACAATACAAATTACCTATTTGTATTGATAGATCTTCAGGATAGAGTACGACTTTTATAGACAGAAATTCTTCTTTCATTTCAAAAATATTACTTTTTTTACACGTGCTCGAATTTCGAAGAGGCTAAACCTGAACAAACAAAGATTTTGTTTTCAGCTTTATTCCGAAAAATATATATTTCACATCAAATGTATATTTGAACTATTCAGTTGTATAAATAAAAAATTGTGTTAAATTACCAAGTGTATAGAATAGAATCTATATCTATGTATATTGGCGAATGTATAGAATGTTTTTGAAAAATTATATGGAAAATTTTGATTTGAATTTTTTTTTTATCAAAAAGCTATTTTGATCCCAAAAATAGCCTTTTTGGTAATAAAAATCCTCCTCTTTTGAGGAAAATTAAATAATACATAATAAGTACATCAAGAAGAAATCTAAATCTAAAAGAAATTGAAGGAGTACAAATTTAAAATTGGATCTACTGTTATGGCTTTTAAAAAGCGAGAATTCGGTTTAGAATGTATGTTCAGCGGAAGCGTTTTTTTTTTCTTAGAAAACCAACGAAACATGTTCACCTGCAGAATGAAAGACACAAAACTGTGTTGCACTGTGTTATGCCGTTATGATAGCAGTCACTTTTGTGTGTGCATAAATTTTGCTTGGTCATCGACAGTGTGTAGAATGGATGGTTTTATCATCGTGACAACACTCGCACATAAACACAACGAACTTTATCGTAACCTTTTATTTTCCGTATGGCAGTATTTGCCGTCCCATTCCGTGTATGTGTGCATGTCACAAAGTTCGGTTCATAAATTTTATGCAATGGCTCATATATATCATGGTTTGCCCCGTTCAAATGACATAGTTTTTATTCCATAACGGAAATAATGACGCAATGGCATGAACTATGAGATGAATAAAACGAAGAAAAAATAGCTAAAATCCTTTCCAAAATCTATCAAATCATTTCCAGTTGATTGAACTCTCTCTGTGAATGAGCAAATGTGGTTAGTTTGTTTGGTGGTCCACAACATTATGGAACGTATGTGCGACATTTAATGCTTTTCGTCGGTTGAGTGTATTATGTACAACGTTGTATTTGTGTCAATCACAAATAACAAAAGAAAATATGCCAAACGTTATTCGATGGAATTTACTGGTTTTACAAAATCAATCTCTGAGAGCTGCCTCTCTATTCAGCTGATTATTCTCGCAATAATGGAACAAACAATAAAACACCGACAACAATAACCGTAATAATATTAACAATCATAACTGACATAACAACAAGAGCACGGTGGTAACAGCAACAACCATAAAGCGAACAACACCAGAAGGGGCTTTTTTTGTTTGACGACAACGATTATTGTACTAAAATGAACTTTTCGATACCAAATCGATTTCGAATTCAGCACAAAACCGATGTTCGCACCATTTCGAATCCAACCACAGAGAGTACCATAGGAAATCGATTATATTTACAAGAAGGAAAAGCTTACGGCTGTTTGCATGAATGGAATTGAAAAAGGATGTTTTTTTTTTAAATCAACAAAAGCGGAACAATACACAATCCATAAATGACATTTCGGTGAAATGGTTGAGAGAAAAAGCCGGCTTTTCTTCGCTTTAATTTTAATGTAAACTAGATGATGAAATCGTTAAAATGCGCGTGAATGTAGTGAAACAATGCATAAAAGCCATAAAATCCATTTTTCACTCTCTCCTTTCTACCATTTCTCGGAATTGGATGTACTTGCTCCAATTTTCTGCAAAAACTGCACATTGGAAGTTGTCGGATGGTATTTTCTAGGTTTTTATGCATGAAGTTTTATGTGTGAGTGTGTTTTTTGGTTAAATCATTACACAGCGGCTTTGTTTTGTACACAAACAGCTGTTATTATAAGCGCACTTGTAACACACCAAGAATATCCATGAGCAAGAAGGTATCCCATAAGCATCATTCAGAATAAGGCGATGACGACAAACACTTTGTTTACGCTCAAGTGTTATGTGCATTTATGTTAAGCATTGCCTCTTCGGCTTTTGCTACTTTTCCGCTCACAACACAATGGAACCGCATTCTCTGCGAAACTTAAGATGATTACACTCTTATTGTATTAATTCATTTGATTTAATTGAGGTGTTTTTCAATGCATACGGGTTTCGTTACATGACTGCATCACTTTTGCAGCGAAATAGTTTCGTTGTTACATTCTGTCGCTGAGAGCCATCGACACAAAACTTCTTTGAAAATGGCCCTTTGTGCGCGCTCTTCTTCTCTCTCTTTCACTCGCCTTCTCTCTCTCTCTCTCACACACAAACACAATGACCATGCACTCAAGTTCATAACTTTCTTCCGCTTTTACTTGGTTTTCATAACTATGAGTCGTTTCTTGAAATTGCAGCCAAGTTTACAACAAGAATATCACAGTTTATCGTTACATATTGTAAAATGCTGTTGCCAAACTGATGGCCAAACTTCGTACCATGACGATTTCTATCAAAATAATAATGTTTGTTGTTTTCCAAAAATATGAAACGCTTTTCACAAAAACAAATAAATGGCATTTCATTTTCTCGTCTCTTATGAATGGATTAAGTGCGAGATCGAGAGAAAGAGATAGAAAGAGTGAAGAGAATTTCAAAAAAAAAGAAAAATAGAGAGAGAGAGAGTTAAGAAAGAAGCAAACAAAACAATAGTTTCCACTTCATTTCTGCAATTAAATTCCTTTGGCATCAACGTTGATAAGATACCTGATAGCGTTGGATTTATCCAAAGTGCCATTCAAAGTCTTTCATTTTGATGGTTTGTATTCCATTATTCCTGAGGATGTCTCTTTGGCTTTTTGTAATTTTCTACAAGTGACACGAATCAAGATAGCTTCTATGAAATGAATGCACTTGCATGAAGCCATACACACATATACAGCTAGATCAAGGAGCTCTTCACTCACTTTCAACTACTACACTCATTTTACATAATAATTTATTTCGAGTGCAATTGATACATTTGTTTCATTCACAAACACAATGAAATTGTTCGAGCACAGTTATTTTTACGCATATCAGTTTCATTTTCTTAATTAAAAAAACCCACACATATTCACAAATAGTGGGCACAATTCCAACCATTTTCATTTCCACATGATGGATGTTTGTGGCTACTATTTTTGTTATAAAAACTGAAACGTCCACAATGAACGAAAATCCGAACGTGAAGAAAATGAATAATAAATCAGATTAAAAGATTTAAAAGTCATGATAGAATGACAATTTATTTTAAAGTATTTTTTGACATGATTTTGTTTCATTTTGTTTTACTCTATTTAAGTGGGAGTGATTTTTTATTTTGAAGAAAATGAAATTTGGAATGATTTTGCGTCAAATTCTTTATTAAAATGGAAATTTGTCGAAAATAAAACTAAAATATATGTGCAACTACTTGTCAAACCGAAATTCGTTCATGCCAAACATCAGTGCCATGTTAACTGAAAAAATCAAGCTGTCAACTAAATTCGACTATCGTTAAGCATACCGATATAATTCATTGCCATTATGAGCCACAAAATTCGTGACATCAGAACAAATTCCATTTGGTTTTGTTGTACATAGTGAAGTGAGAGATTTGCTCTTGCATCGATGGCGATGTTCCGTTCGACAAATATCTCTATCGATTCGTAATAACAATAATAATCATTGTGTCATGTTTCCACAATGGATCCAAATAACCAAAGGATTAAACCCACGCAACGATGGCAGAAGTAATTGTATTCGATGAGCAAACAGCAAAGCGAAGACTATATTTTATACACAAAAATTACAAGCATGTTGTGTGGACCGAATTGGAAGTGTTCATTTTGCAAGGAAGTCAAATCAGGTTTATTGC